GGCGGCCCAGGCGGGGGGCCCCCTCCCCCCCCCCCCCACATATTTCATGCACTGGGCCTCTAGTATATCATAAAACCACAATATGCCCCTTTCTAAAGCTAGTATAAGAGATTTTCAGATTGTCTTCTATATTTATTTTGAATTTTGTTTAATGCCTTAAGTCTTATACTACTATAACTTTCAGGAACTAATTTTCTTTTTATACTGACAAAAAATTAGTCCAAGAGATGATGAGATAGCAATTATAATGGTAGTTGGTAGAGAGGGCACTAAAACCCAGGTCACTTGACTGCTAGTCTCATTCTCTTCACGTCCCATCAAGTTGGATGGAGCATCCACAACTCTCATGTGCATGTGCAACAATATATTTAAAAACTAGACTTCATTTATAACCAAAAATTTAAAATTATTTGATTAAGAACTGTTTTATTGATTTTATTAACTGATTAATTGATTTTATTAATTTTAGTTAAAAATGTAACAAATATTGCTTTGTTTTAAAGTTTGAAGCATATGTAAGAAACCTTGAGTTTTTTTCATTTACCTAAGAAATTGGAAATGTTATTCTGTCTCTTCTAAAATTGAGTTTGCATCCTTCTTTTTGTTTTTAGTTTGCTTTAAGTTTGGATTGAATTAAAGCAATATTGATATATATATATATTTCCCTTTCTAATATGTTTTTTTATGTAACTTAATGTAAGAAACACTTGTAGTTTTCTTTCTAAATTTTTTTAATGTTTTAATATATACCATCTCTAACTTATACTGACTTTGTCTTTTGCTTTTATGTAGTAATTAAACTGAATTTTGTTACCAAATAAATGTTTAAAAAACCTAACCACTTATCAGTGCCCTTGTTTAAAACAAACTAAGGAAATTAAAATCCAATCAGCATATCATGGAAGTGAGAGAATTATTCTTAAAACTAATGGCATATTGATGAATGAGAATCTCAGTTTGAACTTAAATTAAGCTTTTTTATTGAGCAAGTGCAATTAGAAAAGTACATTATTTCTCTTTAATGAAAAGAATACAGAGATGCACAGGAGTGGGATAAATAACATTGTTTATGTTTAAATTGATGTAAGTGACAAAATATACTAAAAGAATCTAAAAGGAAAGGAATTTAAAAATGCAAAGGAATCTTTATTGTAGCATTTGTCTTTCATGTGGTAACCTTAATTATTGTATCTAGAAGGATAATGAAAAATATAGTATAGGAAGTGGGGTAGGGAATGGATAATTTATCGCAAAAATGCTCATTGAATGATAGTAGTTTGTGGGTATTACATTAGCAACTGAGGAGTTGTGGTTTATTGAAGTTCTTCTGATTAGCTCCAAGTTATTTTGAGCTAGTTATCTGTAAGTATAAAAAGATGAGTGTGGGAATAAAGGAAAATGTATTGCCACAATCACAATATCTCTGATATTAAAAACAAAACTCAAAAAGCTATCTATGTTTTTCAGCTATACCAAATCATGCATATTTCCTATTTGAGGAGGGTTTATATGACTAAACTCTGGAGTCACTATTGGATGATTTAGAACATTACGTTTTTTCTTCACTCTCTAGTTCCTCTAGTTTCTGTTACAACCAAAAAACTGTGACTTTTGGACATCTTTAAGATGTCTAAAACAATGACATTTTCATATAGTGGTACAGTTTATTGTGAGTAAATTTAACTTAGGTATTGAAGATCAGAAATAGAACAAAAGTTTGACATTGGCAGATTTGGGGTTAAGAGACTAGTGAAATTAAATGTTGGGCATTTTCTAACAAAGAAAATGTTTGAAGTGTCAAGGAAATTAAAGCTTAAAGAGACAGTTCACATTTCTAAATGTGAAAATATTAACTGTTTCAAAAATAATTTAGTGGCAGTGTTTTTACCTGTGATGCTTTGTTTTATTTATCTGTGAAGAACATCTTTAATGTTATACATAAAGAGACTCTCTCTTTGTAACTATCTAGACAAGAATCTGTTTAATTGCAGTTAGTGAGTCTTTTCATATACTAAGAAAAGAGATTCACTGGGAAGTGATATGAGTGTCATGCCTGCAAATATGGATAATCCCAGTCATGTTTTGGCTTCCTTCTCTTTCTTTTCCACATATCCATTTGGTTTGTGTAACTTATTTGTAAACGAATTGCCCTATGTTGCCTATCGTAAAGAGTGGAGCATGGATTCACCCTCACCATCGGTATATTTTAATGTTACTTTTTTTTCTTTGATAGGTTACTGATCCAAAGCGGCCCCTTTCATTTGGTGTCACACTGGGAGAACTTAGTTTGTTGGTAATGTTGGACTTATTTTAAATATTTGTGGAATCTGTAAAATACTATTCCCGAGTCATAGGTAGCGTTGCCTAAAAGCAACTCTTGCTACAAATAGCTATTTTATTTTTATGTGTAATCTTTCTATAGCTTTTCCAATAGTTTTCCACAAATTTTAGTGATGCTATTACATTCTCTAATTTTGATTTGTCTTCGAATTTAACAAATATCCAAATACAGTATCAAACATTCTGAAAGAATTATAAGCTGTCTCTTAAACATGTGGGAAAGTAGGGGAAGATAAATTTCCATAGAGTTATGTTCTCATTCTTGATTAGGTAAATGGAATTTCCAAATAGCTTATATGTGTTTATGTGTTTATATGTACATGTGTATGTACCATACTGATATCTATATCTATCTATATCTATATCTATATCTATATCTATAATCAATATCTACATCTATATCTACTTCTATCCATATCTGTATCAGTAATTTATTTTGATTAAGTATTTTATAATGTAGTTTGGTTTTTCTCTTAAAGGTCTTTAAGGATAGCATGTGTATATATATCCAGGTTAGACTTTTTATTTTCTTTTATGGACAACTAAGAGGTAGGAAATGTTTTAAAGTTAAGGACAGTGAACAGTAAATTGTACTGAGTACATGTTTGCCTTATGGTTAGTTATATGGATAGGGCTTAGTACAGAAAGAAGAGAAAAAAAATTGAAAGAGAAGTAGACTGCCAGAGAAAGAGAAAAGGACATGTTTACATGGAGGCCTTAAGAAGGATACATGCATGCAGAGAAGTAGAGATACATAGAGTTGAAGACCAAAGCAGAAACATTGAAGAAAAAGAACTAGAGAAACAGGAAAGGGAGTCCGGAAGCTAGTGTTTAATTTACTGTTTGTCCTCTGCATGTTTCCAAAATGAATTTGAAGTAGCTTTTGATAAAGAATAATATCTCATAATATCTCTATAGAGACCAGAATCTGTGTTGTGGAAGGTGGAGAGCTACTTGTTCCAGAAATTTTTTACTAACATTAGACATAACTGAGCACAGTATTTAACATTGAGCTTCTAGCAGACAAAAGAAAACATATGAAACAAATACCTGCCATTGACTGATGACAGACAGGCATACTTGTGCATAAGAATGAGGCCTAACTGTCTTAGTGTGTGCTGTTGTCTGAGCCCCTCTGTATCTTTGCTCAGACTCTATACTGTTTTCTTTGTCTGTTTTGTGCCCTTCCCTTTGTCTGCCTAGCAGTTCTATTCAAGTTTTAATACTTGTGTAAGCTATTACCTTGCTTTCTCATTCCTTTTTTTACCTTCCTCTTTGAATTTATCATTCCTTATTTTATGCCTCTCATTATACTAGTATTTGATGAAAGCACTTGTAACTGGTTACCATTTTGGTCTCCTGCTGTCTAATGTTCATTTATTCACTGATTCAATAGGAAATAAAATACAGTACTGATAAAATATAGTATCTATATTTTAGTGTTGCTTGAGTGAGATTGTTTGTGTAAAGCATTTGGCACATTGGCTGGCTCATTTATTTCCTGCTTCAACTACTACATTGCCTGTTATAACAACTGCAAACTTACCTCTTTTTGTATCTATATCATTCCTTTCTTCTATCTTTCCAATTATAATTGAACTCCATAAGGTAATCTTCCCACCTCTGATCTGGATCCTGTACTTCCCCATGCCCTCAGAAGCCTTCCCTCTACCCCCCTTTTCTTCCCTTCCTTACTTCTTTCCATCCATTTCTCTTTCCTAAATCTTCAACTCCTCTCCCTCTGCCTTTCCTTCCTCCCCACCTCCACCCCTCTTCTTTTTGTAAGCATTTAAATACATGCAAGTATCTCCTTTACAGCAAAATTAAAAAGCCTGTTTTTATTTAGCGATTTATTTAAAGTTCTTTATTGTTGAAAGTATTACATGTCTCCTCCCCCACCCATTGACCTCTCCCAGCCCACCCATGCCCTCC